GGGGCAGCGGCTGCCGCGGGGCCTTTCCCACCCTCCGCCAGCGAGAACTTTGTTACGGGGAGACGGAGGGTGCGGGCGAGAGGCAGCGAGCAGGTTTTGTGTGGTGGTGCCCGCCGACCCCCCGCCTCGGCACCATTACTTGGGCCGTTTGAGGAGCTGCGTGTCCGCCCGGCTCTGGGGCGCGGGCGGAAGGGTCCCGGCTGTCCCTGGCACGGCCCTCGGCAGCCCGGGCAGGGGAAACGGGGTGCCGGCGGGAACGGCTGAAACCCGACTCCTTGCCTCTCCTAAGCAGATTAATGTCTCAATTATGGGAAGAGAAAAAGGAAAAAAAAAAAAATCTATGAAAACTCGTTCAGAAAGGGTGGTCGGAGGGTTGATGACGGGCTTCTGGAGTGGAGCACAGCAGGCAGGAGGCAAACCTGGCAGGGCAGGGCTGTGCGCAGCGGCAGCGAAGCCTGGGAGTTTCAGCGGAGGGGAGAGGGATACGCAAGTACAATGTGCAGGACGAGAGGAGAGACTGTCTTGCCTGAATGCCCTGTGGCCTCTACGGACAGTATCAGTCTGTTAGATCTGCCTGGGTGGCTGTTACAGAGATCTGTATGTGCCTGGCATGCACTGGCAGGGGGAGCGAGGAGGGAGAAATGGGAGCTGGTGATGGTGTGAGAGAGTGAGGCATTAGTGGAGTTTGTACGTGCCCCTTCTTGCTCAGGTAGGAAAGCTGACTGCTGGAGCTTGCAGACCCTCCCCAGATTTGAGAGCTCTGGGGCTCAAGGTGATCATGAAGTGGGAATGGGAAGAGTTGAGACAACAACCAAGATGGGAGGAACTCCAGCAAGCTGGGACTGGTCCTCAGGTGGCATAAACACCTATCTGAGAGCTGGGACTGTGAGCTAGGGAAATAAAGACTTTTTTGTCTATAGGTAACCTGGATTGCCCTAAACTAAGACTTATCAGAACTTCTGGGTCCTTTACAGGTGGAGAGGGAGGCAGGGAGGCTGCAGGTGTGCTGCTGATGGGGTTGTTCCTGGGATGAACAGGACTAAATAAAGCTGAGGAAGTGAGAAGATGAGGGTTTTTCTCTTGCTATTGCAGGTTGTTTGACTTGGACCCTGACCTGTTGCCCCTTTTCCAGTACAACTGCAAGCAGTTTTCCAGCCCTCAGGAGTGCCTCTCTGCCCCTGAGTTCCTGGATCACATCAGGAAGGTGAGAGGGGGGCTGTGACATGCTTGGAGTGCAGCCACCGAGAGGATGCCCTTAGGGCAAGCGGCTTGGGACTGTGGGGTATCAGACTGGGGAACACATGGGAAGCCTCTTCTTGAGACTGTAACTGCAAGGGTTACTCATGTTCGAAGAAAGTGCTATTACCAGGACAAAGCATCCTACAACAGTGGGGAGGGGATGAGGACGTGGGTTGTGGTGAGTCAGAAGCACCATGCTGATTTCCATGCCCTCATGTGGGAGTGGATTGCCTCTTGTGAAAGTTGGAAGCCCCCTTCTTCTACCGTGGAAGTGCCTCACAGACAAGGACTGAAGCCCTCTGCTTGGCCACATGCTGACCAGGAGGCAGCACAGAGCTGGGCAGTGGACCAGGCTCCTGTGAACCCACTACTGTGGAGACGCTGCTGGTGTGGCTGCAGAGCCAGAAGGCTCACAGCATCTCTTGGACAGCCTCTGGGGGAGTGCTGCAATTCACCTCCCCCTGAAATAGGGAGAGGAACAATGCTGATGTCATCTGGAGGAGCACATGCATGGACAGAATTAACCTGGTGCATTAGAGACCCTTTGCTGAGCCCTAAAGAGTGGCCATGCCAGGGCAGAGCACAGTCTTGGCTTGCTGGTGTCTTCATAAACTGTCTGGCTCCATCTTTAAACCAGTTTGGTGCCTCGCTTGCCTGTCTTTATTCCCTGTAAGAGGCTGTTTCAGGACTACACTCCTCTGATAGCTGTAAGCTTTTTGTTATTTTCCAGCCACTGTTTACTGGCAAAGTTAAGTCCATTTTTACTTCTGCTATTATTGCTTTGAGCTGAAATAGCTCTTTGCTCTTGTTGGAGATAATTTCCCTGTTGAAATTACAGGGCACAATTCTATCACCTCCCAGCTTTGCCAAACTAACATGCCCTGGCTTTAATCTCTTCTAATTTGGTGTGTCTGTTCCCTTCATCCCTCTTTAACCCTTCTCTGTCCTGTTTCCATTTGACTCTTGTGCTTCTGGAAGACCACAGTGGCACATGTTTTACCGGACCAGGTCTCTTGCATATACTGACCACCCAATCTCCTCAAAATGCCTTGGCTGATCTTAGAATTGGAGTTGCCTTATTCACAATTACACCATCTTGGCAGCTTCTAGTTGGAAACTCTACTGTCAACTTCCAGGGCTCCCCTGCAATTGTTCTGGAGTCCTAAGAGCTGTAATGACTGCATCAGCATTAGATCTTAGCCCATAACTGATCTGTTATAGGGCTGTTTAACCCCTCTGGGAGAGGGAGCTCAGCATTGCTGCTTACTATGGCACCTCAGGCAGTGTCTCATGGAAGGATAAGGTGTGTGCTGCTGCCAGCATGCCTCACTGATGTGACACAGATTGCAAAAGAGTAAAGGAAAACTCAGGGCATCTGCTGGGCTGGGAGGTGGTCAGGCTGAGAAGGGTGAAGTAGAGGAGTCAGACTCTTTGTTCCTTGCAGAGCCTTGCTGTTAATGCCATTCTGCCTCTGTGCTCCTTCAGGTGATGCTGGTGATCGATGCCGCTGTGAGCCACCTGGAGAACTTGTCCTGCCTGGAAGAGTATCTCTGCAACCTTGGCAAGAAGCACCAGGCAGTCGGTGTAAAGGTCGAGTCTTTCTCGGTGAGGTGTCCTCTCTCGTCCCATGGCAGCTGTGTTTGTGCAGCCCTGCTTGCAGCCCCTGGCTGTCCCCATCCCTCTGCACCCATCTACTGCATTCAGCTGGCTGGAGGGAAAACTGGCAGCTCAGGGCAGCCCCTGAGCTGCTGATAATTGCGTAGCAACATTGGCTCGATCAGGGAAACGCTTGAGGTCCCCTCATTTTCTGCCCTTCCCCAATAAGCCCAGGGAGAAAAGACACAGGGGAGCAAGGCATTTCCCCTGTTTGAAGAGGGCCACAGTTTGGGGCACTGCAGTCTCTCCTGCGGCACAGGGCTGCAGGCTCAGCCCTTGCCCTGGGCTCTGTATCTCTGCATCAGATCCTCTGGGCAGACCTCATGGCACCTGGGAATGGGAACATCTACCTCTCTGTCTGCACTGGGATGGGGAGGCTGCACCTCAGCCCCTGTTTCTTCCATGGCAGTAAGACAGGCACATCTTCCATATTAAATCCTTGTTTAGTCCTCTCCTGCCATCAAGCATGTCCAGAAATACCAGATAACACAGCAGGGAAGGGCAGGTTGAACAAAAGGTTTCTAACTAACTTGTGGCTCCCTCCTGATACTGTTAGCTTTGGTCCTCTTCAGAGACAGCAGAGTCCCCTTCGCTTGGGGCAGCGATCCCCACCAGCCCTGCGCTCAGTGTGTGGGTGCTCCTGGATATGGGGTTGCTTGCAGCAATGTGAGGAGCAGTGCCCTGTGAAGAGGCCTGAGAGGCGGTGAGGCAGGCCCAGAGCATCCAGCCTGGGGTCTGTCCCACTCTCCTGGTATCAGGACATTGCTCAGCTCTGCTGATCTGCTGCTATGCCAGGGGATGGGACTGGATACCAGCATCTGGAAGCCATGGAGGATGGATGTGTACCTTTACCCTGGTGTTACAAGAGTGATGTCAACCCTTGCTCCCTGCTTGCACTCCCTACTCACCCAGGATGTGGGTGAGGGCCAACATGGGGCAGGGGAAGGGGATGGTGTGGGATGGTTCTGGGCCCCCTCTGAGCAACCAGGGATGGAGTGGCCTGGCCCCACTGGTAGTGGAAGAGCAGCTGTACTGCAATGGGAGAAATCCAAAACAGTGGTGAAACAAGAGAAGGGGCTGTGTGTCATCCCCTGGTGCTGAGCTTGATGCCTGTCTGTTTGGTTTGCAGACTGTCGGTGAGTCCTTGCTGTACATGCTGGAGAAATGCCTTGGCACTGCCTTCAGCCCAGATGTGCGGGAGGCTTGGAGCAAACTCTATGGTGCTGTGGTGAAAGCCATGCGACGTGGCTGGGAAACCCTTCCAGAAGGGGACTAGATCCTGCCAACCATCCCCATCCCTGACCATGCAGAGGTCCTGGGTGGGGGGAGTGCTCACACTGTGCTTTCTGCCTCTCCAGTTCTGTCTTTCTCTGTGCACCAGCCCATCACTGTCTCTGCCAGTCATGCGTGCTTTGGGGCTCTCCCAGTGATTCTGCCTTGCTTTGACATGATTACATCTCTGCCTTTGTGAAGGGCTGGCAGGGTACATCTCTGTGAGCCTAGGAGTGCTGCAGCACAGGTACTCTGCCCTGCCCCAAGTTCCTTCAGGCTAGCTGAAGCATCAGCACCCAGGTATCTACTCTGATTTTAAGCTGGCTCATCCTCCCTCCTCTTGCTACCCGCCCTAGTAAGATGACAGCTGGTGTAGGCCTCTCAGGTTTATTTGCCTGAGCTCCTATTTGCTTATTTACTCAAGACCTGCTAGATCTGGCACTGCTTGCTCCTCCTGCTCCGCTGTGCCCGGTTCAGCTGTGGCAATGATGGATTTGGCTCCCTCTAGGGCCAGGGGCAGCAGAGGTGGGAGCTGGCTGTGCCATGCAGCCATCCTCTCCAAACCTTGTGGGGAGCTTTTCCCTCTCTCCCTTCACCTACATGTTACTACCGGATCATTAATCCTGGTAGTAATCTCTTCTGCCTTGCCTATCCCCTAGAGGGATCCATGGCTTTTCCTCATGCCAGGTTGGCCACAACTCTGTGTTTCCTAGGGAAGCTTCAAGCAGTGGAGTCACGTTAATCCCAGTGAGGCTGCTTTTAGCAGGTCTAGGCTGCCAGCTGAAAGGCTTTGTGTTGGTTTGGCTGGTTGGTTTAATCTTAGAAGCAGCTGAAATGCAGCAGCAGTGGTGGCTCTTTACTGCTTTGTGTAAAGGAGAATAAAGTAAAAACAAGGAAAAGATGTCTTAAAATGAAGGTTGCAATCATGTCATGGCAACAGCTTCCAGAAATCATTCTGGCTTCTGGCCAGAAGCAGAATAGCTGGAATTTCTCTGCTGATGCTGTCAGGACCTGGAGTGCTTTCCAACTGCACACAGTGCCCATCTGCAGAGCTCCTCAACTTTTAGTAGTCCCTCCCAGCTGTACTGGAGACACAGCCACTTTGGAGTACAGTCAGGCACCCAGTTAGGTGTGTGCAGCACTGCTATAGCGGGACAGGAGTGAGAAGACAGCATCTGCTGGAAGAAATCCCAAGAAATGGCTGCAAGGCAGCACCTGAGGGCTCTGGGGGGAGCTGAGCTTGAGCACTTTGAAGAAGAGTTCATCTTTATGGGGAAATCACTGTGGGATAGGCAGAACCATGTTTCCAGATACCACTAGCCCCAGGGCAAAGACAGAGCGAGCAAGCAGTTACAGGGCAGCATGCATTTTTGCTGCTCCAGGGCAGGAGTAGCCCAGCACTGAGGGCTGAGATGGTTCTGTTCTAGAGACATGTTCTTCCTATACTCAAACCTCCTCCACTCTGGGGCAGGAGAGGGCTTCCTGCTCCTTGCAGCTGTAGCTGAGATCTCCCAGCCCTGTGCCATGAAGGGAATGATGGGAGTGCCCTGTGAGATGGGGCTCTGCTTCCCTGCCACCAGGTCTGGTGCTGCCTGTGGGCTTCCAGCAAGCAAGGAGCCCTCCAGCTGTGTTTGAGAGGAGAGCTGAGAGGTGTTGTGGAACATCCCCGTGTAGGATGTTCTCTGTCCTTCCTGTGGTACCAGGCTCTGCTCCTGCAGTCCTACAGCGTGGTGTTTGCGTCCAGGCCCATGGCTCTCTCCATCAGCTGGGTCAGGTGAGGTCATCCAGATTCTTGTGCCAGGCAATGAGGGGTGGAGGATATGCTAGCTGTGATGGCATAGTATGGGGCAGGAGGGTCTGGGAATGGGGGTGTCCTCTTTGCAACCCTGTTCTGGGGCATCAGCCTTCAGCATCACGGGGGGGACCTTCTGGCTCTGTGACAAGTACGCAGCTGTGATGGGTGGGGTGTGGGTGTCACTGCCCCAAACCATCCCCACTCCCTCTAGCTTTCCCAGCTCCTTGACTTCTCTGTACCATGTTCTGTGTAACTCCCCAGAAAACTGAACATCTGTGTGCCTCCTATACCCAGCTGTACTGTTTAATAAAGAACAGTGAATCTTGGCCCTTTGTGCTGCCTTACGTTTATTTTAATATAAAAGGCCCAAGCAAAAACAAAAAAAAAAGGATGACACAGATGTTTACTGGCTTCTTGTTGGCTCTAGCTTTGGAGATACTAGTCACTGGGAGCACTTGTGTAGTCCAGCTTGACTGACATAAGAAGGCATCCAGCACCAAATGTCTATTGGGAGCTTCTGTGCACTGTAATTGAATAGGTGAGCAGTGGAGAGGCTAGCAAAGGTGTCTTGCTGCTGATTGCTTATTACCCTTCAAGTTTAACTATCTCTAATGGAATTAGAACTTTAAGTAATCAGCCTGAAAATCCCTTTTCTGTTGTTCAACTGCTGCTTTTATTATTTGAGATGACATTGGCACACAAGTTGCTGGTCACCCACTGCTGGCTGTGCGTAGTAGCAGGGCACAACCTCACAGTGAAGTCCTGCCTGGCTCCATGCAGCTCCCACCCTGCCAGCTGGACTGCAGAGCAGCCCTGCCCCAGGGTGCAGCAGGTGGGGATGCAGGAGGTCCTGTCTCCCCCTTCCTGGGGCATGTTCTAGCTTTGACATGGTGGGTTTCCAGCCCTGGGAGAGTTGGGCACATGATACCAAAGAAGGATGGTCCTGAGAGTGGGGTAGGCAATTTAGGGACTGTAATAGCATCTACTGCGGGCTGGAAATCCCAGCCCTGCCACAGGAGAGCATGGGGCAACATTTAGGATGGGGCTTGTTCTGCAGGGCAATGTGCAACAGTCTGCAAAGGGCAAGGACAGCAGCAGAGATCAGAATGCAAAGCAATCCTCCCTGCTAAAATAAATTTTCCAGCTCTTCCTGGCCTGGAGGACAGCTGCCAGCTTCACGTCTGGCAGTGGGAGCCCAACCCCAGTGCTGCAGGGAAGGGCCAGCGCTGCAGCACCCTCACCTTCGACTCCCTGCACCAGTGCAAAGGTTTGTCACGGCTCCCACAAACCACCCTTTTGCCTTGGCTGCTGCCTGGCGGGGATGCTCTGGCACTGCCCACCGGCGGTTGGTGCAGTGGGAGATGCCATGTAATTGCTCAGCCCCAGCTGTGAGGCCCTTTTGTATGTGCAGGCTGTAATCAGGTGAGCGGGTTTCTGAGGGCTGGAGTGTCAGAGGCGCAGCATGATGGGGCTTACACAACCTCCTTAGGCTGTGATGGGCTTCCCCAGTGTGAGGGCTGGAGAGACACAAACCGGGGCGGGGGGAATTAGAGCCCTCGCTCACAGCCAGGGCTCCTGCCTCAGTCCCTGGTGCCAGCAAGGCCCTGCATTTAGCCCTGTTTACTACTAATGATGAATTGTGGGGGGCCTTTGTGGGGATGTGTGATGAGAGGAATGGTTTTTTTTAATTTTCCAGTTTTTCATCCAAAGGGAAACTCTACTCATGCCTCCTGCCCCATGCTGTAAGCCAGGCTGGACATGCAGGGCTCACCTCATGGGAACCATGGAGGGGCCTGCAGGAAGGACCTGCTGAGGCAGCTCATTCAAGTAGGAATTTGGCTGTAGTGTGTTTTGGGAAGAAGAGGAGCAAAAGAGCACCGTCTGGTCAAAACCTAGAGAAAGACTCTCAAAATGGTGTTTGCTCCTTTCCCCGGGACTTGCTGGTGGGCAGTTCAGCTTTGGGAACATCTGCTCCATCCCCAGATGGGTTGGGTCCCCCCACTGTGCTGCTCCTTGCTGTGGGCCCAGAGGAGTTCCAGGCCACCCTCCTGGTCCCTCCCAGTAGGGTATGCCCCTTCAGTGGTGTCCTGTGGGGCAAGTGCTTGCAGAGGACAGGCAGGGGAAGCACAAGCCTGTCCCAGGGCTGCACCCCATCCCCGGTGTCAGGGATGGTGCCAAGGGCTGTGACAGCCTTTCTGAGGGGTCATGGAGGGCTGTTCCTGCTCTTGTGCATTTGCGGCTTCTGCCTACTCACTGGGGTTTGCTTTTGTGGGGACCATGGTGGGTGGCAAGGTGCCTGGAGATGAGGAGGTGTCGAGTGGCCTCCTCACCACTGAAGCCTATACAGGACATCCCTATGAAGGGTTAAAAGCAGCCCACAGGTGCCACAGGAAAGGGGCTGAGGTACTTTTTCAGGTTCCAGCGGCAAAGGTCCCCCCTCTCCTGGCACCAGGCAGGACATGTGGGGATGATGATGCCAAGCAGAGGCTGGGTGAAGTCATTTTATTCAAGGCACGGTCATAGCAATAAATCACGAGAAGGTACAGACCTCTGGCACATTCCTACAGCGGGGCAGCCAAGGGGAATCGGACCAGCAGCCCGAGCTCCCGAGGACGCGGTGCCACTCGCAGGCACTTGCTTCCACCCAGAGAGAGGCCACCAGCACCTCCCTCCTCCGGCCAGGGCTGTCCCCAGAGCAGGCAGTGACAGCCCACTTGAGTCCAACACAGCTGAGACTCACCACTCACTGCTGGGCTGTCTCTTACCCCACCTCCACCCCCAGGACTGGCACACTGTGCCCCCCCCCC